GACCATTAATACTGAGGGAGCTTAAGGACCATTGATTGTTAATGCTTGTTTGTTTTAGATTTGTTGTTGGCAGTGGTATTGTGAATATATTTGTCCTGCTTTACCCTTGGGTTCTGGTGAAGTGGTATTATCTGTTGCCTATGTCTTTGTGAGCATAGTTAACTTCTTTCAGTTAGAGTTTTCCTTCCAGAACTTTTGTAGGGCTGGATTTGTAGATACGTATTGTGAAAATCTGGCATTGTCATTAAATACCTTGTTTTCTCCATCTATAGTGATTGAGAGTTTTGCTGGGTATAGTAGCCTGGGCTGGCATCCGTTGATTCTTAGTACCTGTAGAACATCTATCCAGGACCTTCTGGCTTTGAGAGTTTCCATGGAGAAGTCAGGTGTAATTTTGATAAGTCTGCCTTTATATGTTACCTGGCCTTCTTCCTTTGTTGCTCTTAATATTCTTTCTTTATTCTGTATGTTAGGTGTTTTGATTATTAAGTGTCGAGGTGTCTTTTTTCTTTGGTCCAGTCTATTTGGTGTTCGGTACACTTATTGTACTTTCATGGGCATGTCCTTCTTCAGATTAGGAAAGTTTTCCTCAATGATTTTGTTGAATATGTTTTCTGCACCTTTTGAGCTGGGCTTCTTCGCCTTCTTTTATGCCAATTATTCCTCAGTTTGGCCTTTTCACAGTGGTCTACATTTCCTGGATGTTTTGTGTTAAAGAATTGTTGGATTTACGATTTTCTTTGATTGATGAATCTATTTCTTCTAATTTACCTTCCGTGCCTGAGATTCTCTTCCATCTCTTGTATTCTGTTGGTTATGCTTGTGTCTGTAGTTCCCGATCGTTTGCCCAGTTTTTCTGTTTCTAGCATTCCTTTGGTTTGTGTTTTATTGTCTCTATTTCAGTTTTCAAGTCTTGAATAGTTTCCTTCACCTGCTTAATTGTTTTTTCTTGGCTTTCTTTACTTCCTTTAAGAAATTTGTTCATTTTACCAATTTTTTGTTTGTTTTTTCTTTCATTTCTTTATGGAATTTTCTCACATCGTCTTTGAGGGCCTCTGTCATTTTTATGACAATAATTTTTAAGTCGTTCCCTCTGCTTCATCTGCTTTGGGGTGTTCAGGTCTAGTTGGTGTAGAGTCCTTAGATTCTGGTGGTATTATGCTTGTCTTTCTGTTGTTCTTGTCTTCCCATATCTTCTTCCAGTAGGTGTTAATGGGGTCTTTCCCTCTCTCTATTGTACTTCCCTGGTGGGATTATGTGGGTCAGAGGTTCGATGTCTGTAGCTCTGAGTGTTCCAAGCTCTCTATGAGGTCTCTCCACATGTAGGGGCCTGGCGATGGGGGTCAGTGATCAGGCTCCAGCAAAAGACTGGCGATGGGGGTCAAAGATCCCAAAGGCTGGGATTCAGGATGTTCCTTTTACCTATAGGCAGATCTAACCTGGGCCTGGCACTCTCCAGCTGAAGCCTCTTTGGCAGAGGCCCAGCATTAGGGTTGAAGGATCCAGGCTGCAGGAACTCAGAGTGGCCCCGCAGGGATAGGAGGATCTCTGGGAGGAGCCCAGAACTCCAGTAGAGGACTGGTGGTGGGGGACAGAGACCAGGCAGGTGGAAATTACGGGTGGTCCTGTGTGGATAGTCAGTTTAGTGTGCTCAGAGCAGCTCCAGGAAGTTCCCCGAAGGTGGCAGGATTGTTGGCACCACCCTCTGTCCCAGTGCTCAAATAGAGTGGTGGGGCAGTAGGCAGGGAAGGGCACAGGGTAGGGGGAGAGCAGGCTCTTGGTTGGGGTGGGTGAGTGTGTATCAGAGTACTAGGAGTGCTCTCTATGGGGACAGGACACAAGGACAACAAGATCCAACCCAGGCAGTTCCCAGGGAAGGTTGTGTGGAGGGGATTCCATCCGAATTGGTCCCAGACTCACCTCTAGCCTAGGCCTGGCAATGGGGGTCAAAGACGATGGGGGTCACAGACTGGGCTGATACTCAGGATGTTTCTGCACCGATAGGCGGAGCTAGCTGGGTCCTGGCTTTTTCCAGCCGAGGCCTCTTTAGCAGAGGCCTGGTGATGGGGGTCAAGGATCCATCCTGCAGGAACTCGGAGTTGCCCTGCAAGATAGGTGGATCTCTGGGAGGGTCCCTGAACTCTAGTAGAGGACCAGAGGTGGGGGGTCAGAGACCAGGCAGGTGAAATTACAGGTGGTCCCACGTGGATAGGCAGGTCTGGTCTCACTCATATTCTTATAAAGACATTTTTTTCATTTATTTATTTATTTTGAGATAGGTCACACAGAATCTAGGCTACTACCTATGTAGCTGAGGATGGCCTTGAACTTCTAACCCTCCTGACTTCACCAGACTGCTGGGATTACAGGTTTGTATCATTACCTTTGGTTTATGTAGTGCTGGGGGTAAAACGCAGAGCCTTGTACTCTACCAATTGAGCTACATCCCCAGCCCCCAAAGACATTTTCATTGGTGGGGGGCTGTTGAGGAAAGCAAATGGGTATAATATAGTTCTCAGATATCAACAGGTTCCCTTTAGCAGTTTTGTTTTAATAGAATCTGGATCTACTACTATAAGTTTTGGCTATAAGGAAATAATGAATAGATAAACCACCTTAAATTTTTAATTCTGTTGCTGCCTGCCTGACTGGATTGAAACAGTCTATCCTTCAGGGAAGCTCCTTAAACAGGAAGGTAAATAACTTAAAATTGGGAAGTCCCTGAAATTGACTAGATTCACTAGGCTTCTCCCTCCCAGAGTAAGCAATAAACAGCTCTCAAGAAGACTTGCTCAGAGCAGCCAGGCTACAAAGAAGATCCTAAGGCCAGACCACCTGCCTGGAAGAATCAGAAACCACCTGAACTATATGGAGGTTTAGACCAAATGAATCACTTGAGGTACAAACCTGTTGAATTGCTACAGGCTGTTCAGCATGCTTTTCCAGATTTCCAGCTTTTGTGAGCTGTAACCTGTGCTGGGTTGGGATTTGGAAATGCAGCTGCCTGAGTCATTTTGACTCCTTACTTATAAGTAACTCCAATAAAACTCATTGGTTCTCCAAGTTGAACTTTGGTGGTATCTGTACTTTGGTCTGTCATGCAGACCCTCTCTGGGTTGAGTAGATATGTTTGTTGCATCTCACCAGGAAAAGTTTTGTCACAATGCTGACTATAAGGCTGGTCCAAGATGGGCTTGTTGAACACATCAAAATGGATGACCTGGTGGATCCTGTCCTCTTCAGGAGAAATGGAAACAGAATGTCCTGTACATCTCGAAGTCATCTGACCCTTATCTCAGAAGAGCAGCTTAACTACAACATTTGATTTTCCTAACAAAAGTCCCCTTGTCCATATCCTGCTATCCTAATGACCAGAAGTTCCCCTATGAGTTTTGTTTTGCTTACAGCAGTTTCTATTCACATGATGCTCTCTCTCCCTGCTAAGGCCATTTCAGGAGATTGCTCTCTCTCCCTCCACTTGGAGACAACTTGGCAGTTCATGCCTTGAATAAAAACCTTTCAGCCTCAGTGCAGCTGAGTATAGGCCTCACACTAACTTGCAATAAAAGTATTTTTTCCATTCCTTCATGATGAATTAGGGATCACTGCACATTAGAAGGCTGTATGTGTAGGGTAACTGTAGGGTAAAAATTCTGAGCCCACATCTGAGTTTTGAAGACCTGCCAATCCCTAAACTCAAAATCCCAACAATCCTTGGGCTTGCTCCAAGCTCAGGACTTTAAGTCCCTTCTTGGAAACCTAAAACTCTGCCCCACAAGAAACCCTATATAAATCCTGCCTTCTTTTTAGTTCCTCATTGCTTCCCTCCTAAGCAGAGGGTGCCAGCCTTTTGTATTTCCCAATAAATCTCATGTGAAGTTTGTGGTATGGACTGACTTTGTGGTATTCCTTGATTCCCAACCAAGATACCTTTTCTTTCAGAGCTGTAATACTTGAATTGGAGAAACATTTTCCCTCAGAGCTGCAACACTTGTATTGGGCAAAGTTTCCCCTCAGAGGTATAACACTTACAGTAACAGACCGGTAGAAATTCACCCTGCCCCAATGTCCCTACTGGCATTTGGAAGAAAACTGAATTATTGGTATTGAGTTAGGTTAAAAGAAACTTTAATGTAGCATGCAATCTAGGAAGGGTATTACGATTTTAATGCTGGTGGGCCTCATGTGAGTTAGGTTTTATCACTGACACTACTGGTCTTATATAGCTGATCATATATTATCAAGCTTGAAGGTTATTATGAGGTTAGCTTCTTCCCTAATCAGCAGTTTGTAAAACCAGGAACTGAAACTATGGGACTTTACTGATCCAAATAATGGGATCTGTGTACCTTTGGCTGTGGGTAGATTATATTCTGAAACATTGGGAAGATCATAAGATTACTATCTAGTCAGGGGCTTTCTGGTAAAGAACAAAGTCATAATAACCTTGTTCCCTCATTCTTGCAAGTTAATCCAAATGAGCCTACCAATCACCAGGACAGGAAAATACCCCTAGGAAAGCTACATGTTCTAGAAACTTAGAAAATAGTATACATTCAGGGCTGGAGAGACTGCTCAGAGGTCAAAGTACTGGATGCTGTTCAGAGAACCTGAGTTCATTTCCAAGCACCTACATGTCAACTGTTTGTAACTCCACTCCCAGGAGGTCAAGACACACATGCTATACAAACACATATGTAGGCAGAATACCTATTCACATAAAATAAAAATAAAGTTTAAAAAACATAAAAGAAGAAAGTAGTATAGTATGTTGGCATAATGGTCTCTGGCCATTGTTCACTTTTCATTTCATGTTATTCTGTAATAAACTCTGTTTTCTATCCAATGCTCTGTGTATCTCATCTATATTCAACAGAAATCCAAAATTTGGCAAGCAAGGTCAAGATACAGATAACAAGTCTGAATTAGAGGATTAAAGGATAATTCACTAATATCTGTATGTAATAGTCTCTTAAAATACATTCAGTAACAAATCAAAATTTTCATGTAAAGCGGGTTTATTTTAGCAGCTCCCTTTTACATTATACATATTTATTTTCTAACATAGATTATTTGGGCATATTTTACATAGATGACATATTTCCTAACTCTTACAATTAACTTTTTCATTTGTTGTTTGCTGTTGCCTGGCTTGAAGAAGGGGTAATAAATAAAATATACTTGAAGGAAACATGAAGCAGAATTTAACTTCTCAACACAACTTTACTTAGATCCAGACTTCAGTGTCAGGTTTTCTTCTTCTTCTTTCTCAAATCCTGAGCAGACAAGAGATCTTCCCTTGGGATATCGAGCACAACACTTACGAAGTTCATGGATGACAGCCTGACACTTTGATTCCATATAGTTGTTGGCTGAAAAACAGGCAACTCTTAGTAATGATCTCATAGAATGAAGAAGGTACAAGGTAATTAAGCATTTCCAACCCTTTTCACTTAGCACATAGAAGGAATATACCCAACTCTATTGAATTCTTTCTGATTTAGAAATCTGTCAACAGGCCAAGAAGTAAAAGGAGGATTTATTAAAATCTATCTAAAAGTGTAATAAGAAGAAAAATCACAATTTAGAAGTGGCTGAAAGTTATTTTAATATATAAGTTATGTTTCAGTCCAGTACCTTTGGCAGTAGTTTTTGATATGATTAGTATCCACTAGTCCCATTTTGTAATTTGATACATTAGAAAAATGCACACAACCCACATTTTCAGTTTCATAGCAAACTGCAGCTTGAATATCAAATTTAATGCCCCTCTTATAAAATAAAACTGGGAGCTAACAATGTTTTTGTGTTTGTTTTCAGTTTTGAAGGGGTTATAAAACAAAGGTAAGGTGACCATGATGTATGTTGTACTATGGGTTCTAAGGCTGAGAGTGCTAAGACCAACACCTGTGGATTGCTTAGTTCCTGCATTCCTCCACCCCTACCTAATGCTCATTCTTGAGTCACTAGGGATATAGTATGTGGATAGGGCATTTGCCAGTTTTCCAGCTATGCAGACTGAGGGCCTCGAATGAGTTCTCATGTGGCTACAAATGTACATGGGCTACTGGTGGCTCAGGTTTGCTGTATATACCAAAAGCTATTGGAATGGGGAACAACATACCCTTTAGCCAGTCAGCCTGATCTAGCTTAGGGAAAGTTCCATAGGCTGATGAAGATAATATATATTCTTCTACTGTTGGACAGTATATTCTGTACAAGCCTATTAAGTCTATTTGTTCTATAGTGCATATTAATTCATACTTTATAAGTAACTGCCCATATTAAAAAATAAGATCTCATATAAATATCTATGAATGAATCTCAAGATTTTAGAAAAAACAAAAGCAAGCCAAAAGTAATATATTGAATAACTGAATAATATATTGAAAAAAAATAAAAACTAAGTAGAAAATTAATGGAGAGCACAAAAAAATACAAAACAAAACAAAACAAAAAACAATGAAACAGTTGACTTTTAAAAAAGATAAACAAAATTGACAAGCTAAACTTATCAAAAGAAAGAAGACTCAGTCTCAAATTAATAAAATTGAAATCCAATCCCAGTCGAATGGAGCTATAGTCCTAAACTACTAAGGAGGCTGAGATCAAGTTCAAGATCTACCTGGGCTGTGGAGTGAGTTCAAGGCTAGACAGGATAATTTCAAAGTTTAAAAAGTAACATGAAACATGCAAGTATAACTCATTGTTAGAATGTTTATAAAAGGCCTCAGGTTCAATTTCCAGTACAATAGCAGCAGCAGTAATAATTAATAATAATAATAATAGGAGACAATGACTATTACACTAGAAACAACTGAAATAATGAATATTTTGAAAATTGATATATCAATAAATTTGAAAGTCTACAAAAAATGAGACTGAAAGTATAATAATAGAAAAAAAATCTCCCATCAAAGAAAAGCATAGACCATGACATATTTGGTAGTGTGGATTGAATTTAGGGTTTTGCACATGACATACATATGCTTTACAACTATTAATTTAAAAATAAAACCAAAAAATTAACACCAATGGTCCTCAGACTAGACAATAAAATAGAAAGGGAAAGAATGGAGCTGGAGAGGTAGCTCAGCAGTTAAGAGCACTGGCTGCTATTCTAGAGGACTTAGGTTTGATTCATAGCATCCATATGATGGCTCACAATTATCTGTAGCTCCAGTTCTAGGAGATCTAAAAAACCTCATTGGCCTCTGTAGGGACCAGACATACATATGACACACAGACATATGTGCAGGCAAAATATCATATACAATAAAATAAAGGGAAAGAATTCTTCCAAATTTTTTCTGCAAAACCAATATCCTTTAATGAGCATACATGTAAGAAGCCTAAGTTAAGTATTTTAAAACTTAATTCAGTGACACCAACGAAAAGAGTTGGTTTCATTTGAAGGATGCAAATATGGTTCAACATACAGAAATCAATAAATACAATATATAAATAGTCAAAATAAACACACTAAACCTTAGTAGATGTAGAAAAAAAGGATTCAATAAAATTCAACATCATTCATGTAAAATAACTCTGAAGAAACTAGGTATAATAAGGTTATATCCTCACATAACAAATGGTAAATATAATCTATAGCAAATATCATACTAAACAGGGGAAAACTCAAAGCAACCTTTTCTTCTAGAAAAGGGTTTCCATTCTCTCTATGTTAACTTGATATAGTACTTGAAGTTTAAAGCAGAGAAATCAGGCAAGAGAAAATAGAATGCCTATGAATATTCCTAACTAAAGTGAAAAAAAAAAGACTTTTCAATGAAAATTATGACATACTGAAGAAATTTAAGATATTGGGAAATAGAAAGAGTGCCCATGTTCATAGATCTGTAGAATACTGATAGAATGGCAATACTGCTGAAGGTGATCTACCAACTCAATGTAATCCGCACTAAAATGTCAATAATGTTCTTCAGAAAACTAGAAAAAATATTAAAACTCATATGGAGGTGAAAAAGACCTCAAGTAGCCAAATCAGTCTTGAGAAAAATTCATGGAATACAACAGAGGGCCCAGAAGTAAACTGTTGTGGGATTTTGATCCATTTAGCCAATGACTTTTGGGGCAGCAAGCCTACAACTTAAAAGCTGAGGGGCCTTAGGCTTTTGGCATGAGGAAGACCCAAATGTCAGAGAGGCGGTGTGGGATCAGCCGCAGCTTCAGCCCTTCAATGTATTTTGTGAGTTTGTCCTTTTCAGTACAATTCTTAATAAATCCATTTTCATACCATTTTGAGTTCACGCATTAGTAAACCACACAGCTACAGCCACATGAGTTTTGACACATATGCCTCAATTTGTTGGAATAGGTATGGCTGGGGATCACACTGAGAACTACATGAATACAAGGTAATTAGTCTTCTTCCACTGAGCTAATTCCTAGTCCCTGAGGTCTAGTATTAAAACTTATCTGTGGTGTGTATTTATGTAATTTTGAGTTTTTGAGATAGGTTATCACTTTGTCGCCCAGGCTAGCCTTGAACTTGTTTTCCTTTTGCTTCTGTTTCCAAGGTATTGCGGTTATAATTTTGCACTGTCATGCTTTGTTCTTTCTGTTTGTGTATACAAACAGTGTTCCATGATGAAAACCAGGGCCTAGTACATTCTGGGTAAATGCTCTATCCCTGAGCTATAACCTCAACTCCAAACCAGTTTTTTTATGGAAGGACTTTGCTTAGCTCTGTAATTCTTAACTGTGATTGTGCATTAAAATCACATGATTAGCTTTGTAAAATGATTTCTGCCCCATCCTACCCTCAGGATGTCTGCTTTAAGTGAGCTAGACAAATTTTTAACATTCTTTAGGTACAGTTGGGAGGCAGATGCAGGTGTGGAACTCTGAGTTTGTGGCTGGCCCAGTCTACAAAATATGTTCCAGGGCAGCCACACACAGAAACCCTGTCTCAAAAAAAAAAAAAAAAAAATAAGAAAACAACAAAAAGTTAGGTAATTCTAATGTACAATGGGAATCAAGAACCCATAGCTTAAATGAAATCACTTTTCTTCTGTATGTGTAGTGGATAGAACCCTTGGGCTTTGAGCATGTTAGGGAAGTGCTCTACCACTGCAGCTTCCCATTCCCTACATAACAACACTTTCAATATTCTAAACATTTCATGATACAATGAAGAAAATATTCATGATCAGTTAATTATAGAAATGTTACAATGAAAGTTGCTGATAACATAATTAATTTCTTATAGTTAGTTTACAGGTAAAATTTCAAAATATCATTTTAAAAAATCTATATACTACCTTGTAAACATTTCTGTATTTCACAGGCTTGTTTCTGGCATGGATCCTTTTGTGGCATATCCAGAAAACTAAAACAAAAAAACATTATTACAATTTTGCTTTTTTAGTTATAAAGACTTTGATGACTATTTACTTGGAATTTTCTTCCAGGGAAACTAGAATGACCTTGTAATTGCTGGAAAAATAATTGTTCTAAAAAAATACTCTTTCTTAATTAATAGGATGAATCAATTATGTTTTATATCTCCATCTCTTTAAGTATGATGGAAGATATAGTATGAAAAATTAAGTGTAGTTATCTTGAATATTGTAAACAAATGTTGAAATCACACCACAGTTTTAAAGGCTTGGCCCAATACTTGGTTCAATGATTCACAAAAGAAACCCTTGCTAAATGATTAACTTCTTTCTTAAACAATTTTTTTTCTTTCACTATTCATTTCAATAGGAATTATACATACCTCTAAGAACTGATGGAAGGCTAAACATAAAATATATAAAATGCACAGAACAGTAACTGGGAAGCAATAAGAGCTCAATACACAGTAGCTATTATACCGAAGTGTTTTTTTTTTTTTGTCTGTTTTAAGACAGGGTCTCATTATGTTTCTTAGGCTATTATCAAACTCCTGAGGTCAAGTGATCATCCTGCCTCAGTCTTCCAAATAGCTGGGGTTATAGGCATGCACAATTGCTCTGGGCCCAAGACTTATTTTTAAAAGAAAAACCTTATTTTAATATACATAAATTGTTATGACTGCTTTAATTCAGGAAATTCTTTACAAGTAATATAAACACTTTCCCAGGAATTGGCAATGTTAGCTGCTACTACCTCTTGAAAAAAGTGCCAATTAAAGTTAATACCATCCTTTGAGCTGAAATGGAAGCCAAATATGTGAAATATTTGTAATCAAAGATTTTAGATTCACAAGCTTTTGATGAGAAACTTGCAAAAATAATTCAAAGACACAGTTTCAGAAAGAAGAAAGGCATAGGAGCCTTTGAAGCTAATTTCATCAGTACAAATAACCCTTTTCTACCAGAACACTTTAGGTTCTCAGTAGATTCAAATTAGGTCAGTATTGAGATGGGAAACATGAGAACAAAACCTCAGATATTTACAGGATGGAAGAAGGAAATGCACGTGAATTTGCTGCAGGGGAAATAAGCGACAAACACATGATGATGCTCATAGGAGCTGCTCTCTTCTTTCTGAATCAGTACCAAGTCCTTGGTGATGAGGGCATCTGTTCTGTAGCATGTGCTGATTTTTTTGTGAGATTCACCAGATCCCATGTTCATACGATGAAGTCCATTAAAGGTTCTATGGCAATTTCCAAAGGAGTCAATTTCAAGTTACATTTCCTGACTAAATGCTTTTGTTGGCTTGATTTCTGTCCTGTTTAACCCTGTTTCTGTACTGTCACTGGCAGTGTTCTTCATGACTCTTCCTAAACATCTGTAGTTTTTCAAACTATTCCCTTCCCACCCTGTGCCAAGGGTGGCAGCACTGCAGTGTTGAATGATGAGATTGTCACATAATGAATAGAACAGAAGAGCATAACTTCCTAGAATTCCAGCACCTGAAAAAAAAAATCATTCAAATTACTACAACTGAATAGAGTGAAAACAAAGAAGAGGAAGTAGAAAATAAATAGAATCACATACCAGGTTAATCATCAGGCAAAAGTTTAAGCAGTAGTTCCTGTACTCCCCTGACCTGTCAGAAAAAAGCAAAGTTTATAAAGTACTGTTGTAAGATCACAAGTATAAGGGAAAATGATTGAGCAAAATGTGTACCATTAAGTGATGCTGAATCTGCCACAAGCGAGAGTTGTTATCCATGTAGCGCTCCTCTGGGTAGAGTTGCCACATGAGAGGTAGTTGGGAAGTAAGAAGGTGACTTGGCTTAGTTGCATCACCTAAGGGAACCTGAACTTGCTGGACTCGAGCCTTTAGGAAACTTGTCTCCTAATAGGAATGATCAAAACAAAAACCAAGAATATCAGAATATTGAGACCAGATAGAAACCAAGTTACTTGAATGCAAAAGCAAAGACAAAAAAAATTAAATGAAAGCAGTTACCTCTTCCACCACAGCTACCCATGTGCGCTGATATTCGTCGCGGTAGACACCTTCTTGGTGAACCCAGAGATGATCGGGTGGAGCCCCCACATCCTCTCTTGCCATTCTGGGCTTTGGGTTCCAATTCTAGCCCTGCTTTTCTCCACCTAAGCCTGCAGCATCCGCGCACAGGACACAGGTGTGACTTTTGAGGTTTGGATGAACTCACTAGTGAGCAAGGTGACCAGGGACTAGCAACCACCAACCAAAACCAAGCCTCATATATACCTATTTGTACAACCTAAACATATCAAATGGCATCTTAAGCTTTCTGAAAATGAAACTGAAGCGACACTAAGGCAAATCCTAGGTAATGTTAACTTTCTATGGCAAAACACTCAAGAATTCTAAGATCATTCTGTGGGGAGATGAGAACTGCGGGAGGCTGGGTACAAAAGTGTACCTAAGGACACATGACTTTGGCAGAAAAGTAGTGAAACAGACACATGCATGCCATATTCTTCAGATAAAAGTCACTCCCGAGCAGTTCACATTTTTTAAAAGTTTCTAAAATGAGACTAAGTTTGTTATAAGGGCAAAGGAAATACCCGTCATTTTATTTAAAAAGTTATTTATACTAGCAAGGCTTATCTAAAGAGAGATTTTCATTTTAGGAAAAATATTTAGTGTAGTTTTATTATTTTCTGAAAGCAAATAATAGCCATCTATCTATCAAGGCTCCCTGTTTCACTTAAGCAGGATGTCACAAAAGCTTGGTTTTCCAGAGGCATAGTTGTACATTTTATTCTAGAAACTAGGAGGTCAAAAATATCTCTCTGCTATTTAAAATATGTAAATAAATTACAGTTCTTAGAGTTTCGGGTGGCAAGGAAACTCTCCATAATAGTCCTATGCCCAGCTTTGGGTCTCAAAACTTCACATGCATTTTAGAATCTTGTAGAAACCACTCATACCATCATAATGCAGATTCACCGTATTTCTATCTTTTATAGAGCACAAATAAATCAGTGGGTATCTTTCCACAAAAGAGAGCCCCCCCATTCCCAATAAGTAGCTATTAGTGGGAAAGGAAATGAAGCATAGCTTGGAAGATTGTTACAGTCTTCAAAGTGATACTGTCCAGAGCAAACCAGATGTCAATCATGATGTGGAATGAGAAGAAGCCAGAAATAAAGGAATGAAGCTAAATCTAGTTTTTTTTTTCAAGGATACCATTCTGATTTTGATTCTTCCCCCTTAATGATGTTTTTCTGCCTACTCCCAAAAAGGAAAGTAGAAATAAAAACTATTGCTTCAAAACAGGTATGTTGGTGCATGCCTGAAATCTGAGCATCCCAGAGGCTGAGCAAGGTTCAGGCCAGTCTGGGCTATATACATGTAGTAAGTTTGAGGCCAACTAGTATACATAGCTAAGCTTTAGGTTAACTACATAAGGAGACCCTCTCTCAAAGCAAAAACAAAAACAAAGAGAGAATGGTCACATTTTTGTGACAAATAAATAGGTATGACAATTATCCATTTATTTCCTCATTCATGTTCCCCTTTTCACCTGGATGTACTATGTCATTTCCAATTTATTTATGATAGCATCCTACCTCCTCAGCCAAATCCTACTTTCTGTATGGCAATATCACCTCTTGTGTAGACTCAAAAATTATGAGTTATCTTGAATTTCTTCTTCTCATTTGCTACACCCAATGTCATCAATTCCAGCAAATATCACCATTACCACTGTATTCAAACCAAAATTTCTTTCAAATACTAGGGTTGTTTCAAGCTGCATACCCTTGCTCAACCTTTCTATCTGCCTAAAACACATGAGTCTCCAGCTATACATTTTGAAAGCCACTTTTTTCATTTAGCAAATACAAGTATTCTGCCTCTATTGTAGAGCTTTAGAAATATATAACACCCCCCAGTAAATTCCAATATAAAAATAAAAATGAGCAAACACACACACACACACACACACACACACACACACACTTTCTTAAAAAATCAGGAACCAACTGTTAAGAGTTTCAAGACAATCTCAACTTCATAGATAGGTCCTAGCAACAACCAACATGTTGACATTTAAATTTCTTTTGAATAAAAACAAAACTTTATTGGTTATACTGACATTGGAAGGAAATAATTCCAGTGGAAGAGAAGGCAGATAGCATGTGATATTCTGAATTACTAAGGTACTACAAAATATTCTCAGAAGAAAGGCCATATAATGTGCTGCTGTGACCTCCAAAGGTGAACAGGCTAGGCATTGACAAGATGAGCCTTGGGACAACACTCAGCACATTAGCCTGGATTTCTGTGTCCTATCATTCAGAGCATAATTGCCCAGAGAAAGCCAGCTGCAGTGATCAAGGAACTGATAAGCTACCACATAACTATGAAAACATCAACACCTTCAGTATATAGATGCAAAGGTTAAGCAAAAGGCATTTAGATCAAAGTCTATAAAAATAACATGTTGGATGAATGGAACATCATTTCCATAAATGTGATTCTTTAGAACACTTGATCCCAATATTTTTCCTTGGTCAGATAAGTTTGGGAATATTGGAGATCATAAAATCATATTAGTATAGTAAAAACTCCAACTAAGTTATACTTAACAAAGATTTTGTATAGTTTAACATTTCCCAAATTTATTTGACTAGAGGAACATTTTTAGCATATGGTATTTGTTCACAAAATTGAGGATTCTCGAAACTAAGGAATATCTTAAAAATGCAAGATGAATTTAGTTACAAGGTACAATACAATACATGAAATACAAACCTATGTAATTTAAGTTAAAATACTACCAGTTTTAGACACAAATGCATCTCAAAATATGTTTGTATAACTTTATAGCTATAATATGTACTAAAAGAGATGGCCTCCATAGAAGTTGCCTTGATTCTAAAAGCCATATTGACCTAGATACATTATTTTTAGACACTTTGTAAATGAGGTTCTAAATGAACGACAGAATACAGAAGAGCTTTCTTTGGTTATAATTTAAATAAACCATCTTTTTTGTCATTTACAGAAAGAATGGTTTTGTATGGTTTTTCTTTCTTTTTCTGAGACAGGGTTTCTCTGTGTAGCTTTGTAGACCATGCTGGCCTCAAACTCAAAGATCCGCCTACCTCTGCCTCCTGAATGCTGGGATTATAGGTGTGCACCACCACCATGTAGCTTGTATTTTTTTCTTTACAAGAGTATAATTTGCTTTAGTTTGAGGTATTTGAGCTTTTAAATAGGAGCAATAAGTTGAATATGTTAATTATTTGAAGAAATTTAATATCCTTGTATTATACATGGAATTACAATATCCAATTATAATTTCAGTTGCCAAAGAACACAGGCCCAGGTATCAGCTTGCCTGATAAATGAATCCTGCTTGTGCCATTTAGAAGCTTTTTTGACCCTCAGGCAACCTAATCTTTCTTTACTTCAGTTTCCCTGAGGTGTAAAATTATGAGCATATTGACTGTAATGGTACTTACTAAACACTTCTCATATGTTTAACATATATTTAGGTCCTGGGTGGTGGTGGTGGTGCACATCTTTAATCCCAGCATTTGGACGAAGTGGCAGGCTGACCTCTGAGTTCAAGGCCAACTTGGTTCACAGAGAGAGTTCTAGGACAGTCAGGAATACACAGAGAAACCCTGTCTTGAAAAACACATGACAAAACAAACAAAAAACAGAAACAAAACATATGTTTATGTACATTGACTCATTTGATCTTCATGGGATGCTATGAGATGGGTATTGGTATTATTCCCAAGTATATGTAATGAAAGTAAGACACAGAAATTAGATAACCCATACACTAGTTCACATAGCTAGAGGTTGCAGAGCCTAATTCCAGTAGAGGTAGTTTATACACACTATATATGTAAATTCTTAGTAGAGTCTTTAGCACATAATAAGCTTGCTATAAATGTTAATTATTTCCCTTTCTGGTCAAACGTTTCGAGCTATAAAAGGTAGCATGAACATTCTAGAATATGACTGACTAAAAACAAGTAAAAGAATCTTTTTTCTTGAAGGCGGCTAAACAAATTGATAAATTCAAAAATATCCATTAAGCAAATGTAATAAGATGAGCAGTCCTTGCTACCCCACCAAGGCAGAACATGTTAATTATGAACAATAACTGAAAATAACATATGACATAAAATTGAAACTTAAAGAGAAAATGCAGATAGGTCCAATTACACCCCTGCTGTTTCTCCAATCTTTATAATTATGAAACTTAATCATAGAAAGATGTGGCAAAAGCATAAGGTAAAAAGAGAGGTTGTTTGCATATATATTTCACCAGAGTGCCCTGGATTTGGGACAGTATTTGTGGGAAGATTTGGGTTGGAAATGACTTGGGAGAGAAGAGCAAAGCATCAGCATCTCTTCAAGTAGTGCCTCGAATAAGTTCCTTTTTCAGTACTGCCATATCTGTCTGACTTCAGAACTACAAAAGGAATTTTAAAAGACAAATGCAAACAAAAGCGTATGATCTGTGTAGGCTGCATGGAATATATTTTGTTCTCATTTATAATCAATACTAAATCCCTCGTGTAATTGATAAACTTATGAAATGGAAGGAAGATTTGTACATTTATCCCTTAGTTCGTTGGCATATTGTAAAATAAAATTAATTTTGGATATAAGTTAATCATGTCTGATACCAGGAAAGAGAAAAGAGGTTACTTGATGTGATACATTCAAACTTGAATATAAAGTGAGTCCCTCCCTCAATCTTTCTTTTCCTGTACAAATATACATCTAAAAGCTTTTGTAAAAACAACAAGCAAACTGGAGTTACTTTTTCAGACACAGTAAAACACTGTTTCTGTAAAAGGTTACTCACATGAATATAATGTTTCTTGGACTAATTACTCCTCCTCCAGAACAGCTAGGCTAAAACTTCCAGGTCCCCCACCCCGGAACACTCAAGCAGAGATCGCGACTTGAGCCCAGGGCGAATCAAGGGGCATCCCGGGCCGAGGTCACTAGAACCGAAGTTAGGAAGTCAGGCCAACAGCCGGAAGTGGTCCAGAGAGATTCAAGGGTTGTGACTTGGAAATAAAATAAAATAAAACCTTAACTGTTTTAGGACCGACTTTCAAAAGAGGCCGTTGTTCGCGGTGATGTCGCCCCAAAGAGCTGTCCCTGATGCGTGTAGGCCGCGCAGGGTTCTCAGCGGGCGGGCAAAATGGGCGCCAGCACTAGGGAGGTGTCTTCCCTTAATCCCGGGAGCTGCTCACAGCCCACGTCCGCCTCGGCGGAATTAACACCGCCTCCCTGGCCGCCAAGCGGCCCGACTGCTGCGCAAAAGACCTTTGCTAGCCAACACCCAGTGTCCCACTCTTTCGCCAGCCCAGAGTCTCCCAGGTACACCTAAATGGGCACCGCCTCCGTACCCCCGGCTCCGCCCCCGTGGAACCCGCGCGACTAGGCCAGGCCTGGGCGGAGCATAGTGCACAGGGGCTGGGAAGGCTGCGTCTGAGCACCGGGTTGGCCAGGCTGCTGTGGGCCCTAGGCGGACGTGACTGGAACCGACAAAGATGGCGGTGCAGGTGGTGCAAGCTGTGCAAGCGGTTCATCTTGAGTCTGACGCTTTCCTAGTTTGTCTCAACCACGCTCTGAGCACTGAAAAGGAGGAGGTGATGGGTCTATGTATAGGGGAGGTGAGTAGGTCCGCCAACCAGGATGAAACAGTACCCAGTGGTCCCTGAAGAGGCTGGGAGGTCACAAGAATGCGATTTAGGTCCTTTGCGTTCTCTAATACTGTCTCGGGTTCCTTTGCCTCTGGTCCTCTGATCCTGCAAACCCTCAGCGGTCCACTGGGGTGGGGGTTATGACACCAATGACCAAAGCAGCAAATCAAGCGAGAAACACTTTCTGGTAAAAGGAGGGTAGCGACAACAAGCAACCCACGGTTACAGCTTTTCGTCTCCTCACCGCCACCAGTTTTCCCTGTGGGAAGCAGGGCCATCACTAAAGCATTTTAAAGTACTCAGGTCAGAAGGGTTTTGTGGACTTCAAAGTCTCTGTTGTGGCTAAATGTTACAGAGGTGTGAAAGATAAGGAAATACACTGAGTGTAGTACAGTGCTTAGGTTGAATTCTCCAGTCTTTCATGCATGTGTGTGAACATATGACCTAATTTTCATGTAAATTTGCATCCCTATAACAATGTGTCAGTAATGTTTTCTGCTCTCTCCTACTCCAGTTGAATGATGACATAAGGTAAGACTATATTTGTTTACTTACATCATATTAGAATCTCTAAACTGATTTTTAGTGAGCAATTGTAACAACTTTGGTAACAACGTGTACTCTTTGTATGTTAACATTAACAGAACAGAGCTCCCTCAACAATACAATCTGAGTTCCACCACAATCCTAAAGTTTCATTTTAACCTTATATCATAGCATGATTTTTATTTGAGATATTTAAGCTCCCATGTGGAAAAATGTGGCTGAAGGAACCAACATCATATATGAACCTGTAAAAGGTCTTATAAATAGAATTTTGTTGGGGCTCCAGGAGCCCAATTGGTTACTGAATGATAGGCACAGGAGTAAAACTTTGTTGACTGAAATAAACACACCTTATTAAAAATGACTATCATTATATTGCTTTCCATTTTCTTTCTTTGCGTTTTACATTCTCTCTTCCCTGAAATGTCAGGGATATGCCAGTAACTTTCATTGTGGCAGATAATGTCCATACATTGAGAGGCTTTTCCCTTGTCGATCCATTCTTCCATCTAATTCGTTAGTGGATTTCTGTCCCCACCCACCCATCCCCTGTGAATCCTATAGTGATACTAGAGGTTCCTAGTAACTTGAAAGATTGAGAGATGATAAAACCTTTGGGTCCCCTTTCTTTAAACTGAAAAGCATAGCTAATTGTTTATCCAGCCTCCTCCTTAATACCTGGAGTCTGCTCTGTTCCCTTTCCCCCCTCTTTTATTTCAGCTATGGTTGCATTTCAAAAACTGTTCATCTTATTTTTCCTTAACTCCCTTTTCTATTCCAAATCCCAGTTCCCCCTTTTCTAATCTATCTCCAATAGGAGTGACTCCAAATTTACATACACTGGGACTGAAATGCGCACAGTTGCAGAAAAGGTATGTATGATAAAATTTTGCATGATGGAAATTTGCAGTTGGGGAGGAATTTCTGCAATCTGTTTGATGGCTTCAGCCAGGATTTTAATCTACTTTGTAATTGTGCAGCATGGTTTATTTATTTATTTATTTATTTATTTATTTATTTATTTATTTATTTCCTGCTAAAATCAGGTGAAAAATCTCACTAGAATGGGACTTAGTTAGTTTCTGTTCTTTGTAGGAACTTCACTTGATCAACAGGAATAATGTGATCAACATTACCCTGTTCCTCTCCTTGCTCTCTGCCTGTTTTTATAGCCTTTCTCCCACTTTCCTTAAGACTTTGAGGATTAGTTCATATTCTTTTTACCCAGTCCCAAATGGTCTATTCATACTTCTCATATGCAGTCTATTGTTGGTGTCATGATTTTTAGTCCAATGTCTTTTCTTCTGAGTGTGCACTCCACCCCACTTTTCCTGCCATTCTCTAAGCTAATTATACAAAAAACAGTTAGGTTTTTTTTTCAATGTATCAGAGCCTAGTGATTCTGTAAAATACAATAAAAATAATTGTTTCTTATCCTTTCTCCAAGCTATTAGGCAAAACATCTACTTATTATCTTTATATACAAACTTCTTCACCATAACCACTTAAGCCACCTTTCTTCCTCTGTTAAAATTTTCTAGAGGATCAGAAGCAATAGAATTGATCTCTTTCTTTCCTTCTCTATATTTGTTATAAAAGGCAATTTATAGGATGCCTTACCCAATTGGGGGCTGGTGGCCCAAAATTGGCTTTCTGCATGCTAGAGAGTGGGATAATTCATATTAGCTAAACTGACAAGCTGGAAGCCTCTGGTCAAGGAGGACACATGATGCAGCCCCAATCCAGGCCTGGATGCTCCCTGGAGTGTAGCTGCTGTGCATCCTCACTGGACTGCTGAAGGCTCTGGATTCTAGTGGTCATGGGTGATTGTGACAGTGCTACATGCATTACCTCATGAAGGATGGAACTAGACTACTCTGGCAGGCTTTCTCTTTTTCTTTAATTTTGTCTGGGCTCCCAGACTACTACATGGAGAATCCTCTCTGAAAATGATGCTGGGACAGGCACACCAGACGTGAACTTCCCTAATCTTACACTAGGCATCTGTCAATCCAGCCAAGTTGACAACCCAGATTAACTATTACACTTCTATTTAAAAAATGTTGCAGGGGCTGGAGAGATGACTCATAGGTTCAGAGCACTGGCTGTTCTTCCAGAGGTCCTGAGTTCAATTCCCAGCAACCACATGGTGGCTCATAACCATCTATAACTGTAGTCCCATGGGATCTCATGCTTTTTCTGGTGTGTAAATGTACATACAGACAAAACACCCATATACATAAAGTACATAAATAAATAAATATTTTAGAAAAAATCACATTAGACTACAAATGCTATACTTAAGTCACTCTTATTTTCAAAAAGGAAAGAAAACCTACCTATTCTATATCTTCTTTTATCACTACTCTTTTGTGAAGTTTTTTCTTGAGTTTAACATATCTGTATAACCATATTTATAGCTCTTATTAGCAGCATATAAAAATCCAGTCTGATGATCTTTTTGAGGTTTCTTATTTTTAGTAGTTACTAATGTATATGAATTACAGTTACTATTCTTTTGCTTCCTACGTAATCCACTTTTTATTTTAAATTTCTTTTTCCTTCTTTTCTGTTAATAAACTATATTTTGTTACTCTATTTGACCCTCCACCTATTATAATTTTTTTGTTTTAGTGGTTCTCCTACATATTACAATATGTAGTCTTCATTTGTTATAATTTAATGCAACTACTTCTACCATCTCTCCAATAATGCAATTTTGTTATATCTTAATAAACTCACTAAAAGTTGAAAATATCCTAGACCCCAAGTATAATACACCTAGAGTACCAAACACCCTAGCTCACTGTGCAGTATCCATACATCTTCATGATTGTATAGCTTATTGAAAACTGCAGTTCAGCATTACAAAAGTCTCTTATGTTATGTGTTTTCCAATAGCCCAGGAGAAAAATCTAAGTTTAAAGTACAGTTTCTGCTGTATGTATACCATATCCCTATCAATGTAAAGTTGAAAAATCCTTGGTTGAACAATCATAAGTTGGGAAGTATTTGTACTAAAATTTTAGAACATTTTTTAATTTTAATTCATAACCTACCACCTTTTGGATTATTGTCATGTATTTTAATTCTATAGTATTTTAAGGTTTAACATTGGTATTACATTTTCATATGCCCTGTATTCATTGTGTTTACAAGTTGTGTTATAAGTATATTTATGACACTTAATCATTCTTTCATTTTTTGGAATTATCTTTCTGTTTGAAGAACTGTAACATTTCTGCCTGATACTATATTCCCTCCATTAGGCATCTGAAGATATCTTTATTTTGATTGCAGTTTAAAGGATACATTCTTTGAATATAGAATTCTTAATTTGCATGTATTTTATTTTAGTTCTCTAAGATGTAATCTTTGGGATTTCATAGTTTCTGTTGGAAATTCAGTTGTTTGTCTCATTATTTTCTGAGAGGGGTTGCATCTGTCTCTGCTATTAATTTTATTTTTCTTTTACTCTATGCCTGCCACACATTGTACTAGTTGCTGGGAAGAAAATCATAAATGAAATATGGTCCCTGCTTTTGAGAACCTTGTAATCTAGTACAGGAGAAAAGCGTAAAAATAAATAGAACACAATGTGTGTTCTAGTGGAAATAAGTGCATATCTATCATGAAAGAATACTTGTGAGGGGAAAATGATTAGATATTTATAATATGATCAGGAACTTAAAATGAAAGAACTTACCAAGTAAAGATATTTATACAGAAGGGAGACTGTAAAAAACCACTGACCCCAAAAATAGGAACACATAATTTATGGAAACTCTTAGTAACTGAATCATACAAAAGTATAACAACCTTCTGAGATAAAAACTCTTTAGAGCTGTGTTGTGTTTTCAACAAATTATAAAGCCAGGTGGCTCACACCTGTAATCTCAGCACTGATGAGACCATGCAAGGATTATTGTGAATTTCAGGCTAACCTAAGCTACATAGTGAGTTGCAGGTCATCTTGGTCTATAGAGTAAGACCTTGTCAAACAACAAGAACATAAAGAACATTTTATTTATTGAAAGAATAGTGAGTATTTACTATGCAAATGATACCTTGTCTTGATTTTTGTTTATTCAGGATAGTTTTTCATATTGAAGTGCTGACTATTCTTTTAACTATATTCACATTTTTAAAATAAATAACTAAAGCAAAAGGGTAAAAATAATGTTAATATAAGGGTACATTTTATTTAGCTCTAATATCTAAAGTATTTCAATACATAGTCAATATTTATGAAATGTTGAGATATTTCACATTCTTCCCCTCACTTTTTTTATTAAGCCTTTTAATTACAGTGGGTATATTTATGGCTTATTTAAAATCAGAATTGACATATTTTAAGAGCTGTGCCTAATGGATTTTATATTGTATAGTAGAGAGATCATAGCTTATGACAAAAACTTCCTTTCAGATTTCATCTTGTTTTTCAGATTTCATCTTTGTCTTGCTACTTCTTTCATTGAAAGCCAACTGCCCTACCCGATCCCAAACTCAAACTGTTTTACTGCTCCTTATGTCTTCTTTGTCTTTCTTCTCTCTTTTACTCTACACTATTCTAAATGTCGGCACCCCTCTTGATATAGGCCCAGACCTCTTGCTTCACTCTCCATACATTTTTTTGTTGCCTCATGAAAATTTTGTTGATGATTTCCAAAATGATTCTGTTTGAGCCTAAGCTTAAGTACTACCAGAAAAACATTGCCATATTTAATTTCCTTCCAGTTCATCCTGAAATCACCTACACGATATAAGAAACTTTGTAGATCCTTTCATTCTGTCTTTTCTTAGACTTACTTTCTTCTATTCTATGTCTAGCTCTACAATTACATCACTTAAACAACCTGTCTCCCAAACATTTTCCTCACACTTTACCTCTTCTGTCACTCATATATCCACTTGGCAACTGTAGAAATTCTATATGCCCACAGGCAGCCATCAACAAATACATATATTTGCCTGCCTTCTATATGAACACTTTTGCTAATATTAGTTACTTTTCTGATTTGCTCTAAACATTGATTTTCTCCACAATTTTAATGTAGTTTTGATGTATTATACTTTCTCCTTAACCATATTATTAGAACACTGTTTTATATTTTCATATGAAAATGCATTTTGCACATATTAGATGATTATTCACATATTAGATGATTAACCTAAATACTCTGATATATATATCTTGATTGGAATATGGGGCATTGAAAACATTTATTACCTAGGAATAGTGATGTATGCTTGTAACTCCAGCACTTGGGAGGTACAGGTATGAGGATCAGGAAGGAGTTCAAGCCCAGCCCAGCTACCCAGGTACACAGTAATTTGGAGGCCAACTTGGACTACATGAAACTGTGTGTGTGTGTGTGTGTGTGTGTGTGTGTGTGTGTGTGTGTGCATCTCAATAAGAAAAGTATTAGTTTTGAATCTGAAATTCTCTACTGCCACTTTAATAAAATATAATCCTATATTTACAGGAAATTGGAGAGAGAAGTATTGGCTAGAGAGAGAAATAACTATTTCTTTGGATTTTCCTTTAGGTGGATACAGTCAGAATTGTTCACATCCATTCTGTCATCATCTTGCGACGTTCTGACAAGAGAAAGGACCGTGTAGAAATTTCTCCAGAGCAGCTGTCTGCAGCCTCAACAGAGGCAGAAATATCCTTACTAATACATTAGATGCTTTGCTTTAGTCATCTTAAATTAGGTACTTTTATAAATTTTCTTCTTGGTGAATGTTCCCTAGTTTTCATATTGACCCTTTAGATCTAATTATTTGGTTAACTCTATCTATCTATCTAACTATCTATCTGTCTGTCTGTCTATCTATCTATCTATCTATCTATCTATCTATCTATCTATCTATCTATCTATATCTCTCTCCTACTCTCTCCCCCCTCTCTGTATTCAGATATTGTTTCTTAAATACTTGCTACCTTTAAAATTTTTACTTTACAAATTAGTTTCCATATGATATTTTCCTACATGCTCATGTTCAGTTGATCCTCCCTCCACTCCCTCTGTTCTACCATCTCCCTGCTCCCCACCCCTACTTAAATCTGTCTTCAATATTTTCTTTCTGCTTACACATGTATTCTATTACCCAGCCTGTTATGCTTGCTTAAAGCCCTATTCCTGCACCTTAGGGCCTCTTTCTGGTTTCCTCACATCTACACACATTTAGTCCCACAAAATATGCATATGTAAATTTAAAAGCTAGGATCCACATATGAAAAAGAATGCATATCATTTGTCTTTCTGGGTCTTGGTTACCTCTAACTAAATTTTATTTATCCATTCATTAGTTGATGACATCTAGGCTGCTTCCATTTCCTTGCTGTTGTAAATAGTGCAACAATGAGCATGAGTGTGCAAGTATCTAAGTAGTAGGCTATATAGTTTTAGGAATATATGCCTGGGAGTGGTATAGCTGTGTCACATGGTAGTTATATTTGAATAATATATTTGAAGAGCCTTCATACTGATTTCCATCGTCATGGTACAAGTTGACACTCCCACCAATAATTCCTTTTCTCCTACAACCTTGCCAGCATTTGTTGTAATTTTTTCTCATTTAAATTAAGTTTTATTTTATGTATATGAATGTTTTGTTTGCATATATGCATGTGTACCATGTGTGTGCCTGGTGCCGGCACAAGTCAAAAGGCATTAGATCCATTGGAATGAGAGTTGTAGATAAATGGCTGTAAGCCACCATTTAGGTGCTAGGAACAGAACTTCTATGCTCTGCAAGAGCAACAAGTAATCTTAACCACTGAGCCATCTATCCAGGCCTGTTACTTGTTTACTTGATAATAGCCATTTTGACTAGGTTATGAGTCCTGAGGATGAAATAAAAGGCCATGCACTTAAAAAACAAGTACCTTTGTGAACTGAGTCATCTCCTCATCCCAGGTTAATCGGAATTTCCTTTCTTATTTCTTTTATCAGAAGAGATAAAAATTTTGGACAGTCATGCTTGTAAATGTCCACAGGACCCAGGGTAAAATACCACAATGGTGAGATGTATAGGTAGTCCCTTTCCCCTACCTTCTACACATTGACTCTATTCCTTCCTGCCCTTCCAGTTTTTCTAATTTCTAGGTTGTTCACTATCCCTGAAAAGATTAGTTTGTGAAACTTTCCCTCAGAAAATGCAATGAAGAGAGTTGAACACATTATTCCTTGTTAAAGATAACCAAAGAATGATTTGTTTTCTGTAGTTTGAATTCCATGCCTTATCTATGGCATGTTAACTTTATCAGTGCTTCTAGTGGTTTATTGTTTTCCTGGACTAAGTTAACCTTGTCCTGGTTCTATCTGTGCATAGACTGGAGAAAATTAATTTTAAAATACTTCTTGTACTTTTTTATTTTGGCGTTTTTAAAACAAGGACTTATTCTGTAGCCTAGGCTGGTCTGGCCTCTGCTTCCTGAGTGCTGGGATTGCAGATATCAACTGCCATCATATCTGGGTCCTTTGTATACTTTTCAGAGTAGTATACATACATACACTATGCATGTATACTACTTATATTTAAATTTTACAATTTTTGTTATCTATAGGTCCATTTTGGTTTTGGGTGTTTTTGTTTGATTGTTTTTTGTTTTTTGAGACAGGCCCTCTATAATAATTCTGGCAGTCCTAGAACTCACTTTGTAGACCAGGCTAGCCTTGAACTCACAAAGATCAGCCTACCTCTTCCTCCTGAGTTCTGGGATTAAAGATGTGTACCACCACCTCCCAGTTTATAGGTCCATTTTCTAATAAATTGTTAATTTGAATTTAACATATTTCTATGTTAACAATTCTTTGTTTTTGGTTTTTCAATACAATAGTTTCTCTGTATAGCCCTGCTGTCTTTGGAACTTACTCTGTAGACCAGGCTGGCCTTGAACTCAGAGATCTACCTGCCTCTGCCTTCCAAGTGCTGGGTTTAAAAAAATGTGTGCCACCACTGGCTGGTCCATCAATATGTTCTTATTACTTGGAGTATAGTGTTCCAGTCAGGCAGGAAATACAAAAGCAATAATGTTACTTCCTTTTTCCTGTGTCTAGGTTTTAGGATTTGAAGGGTTTTTTTTTTATGCATTTAGAGTATTTTGTTGACATCTCATCAAGTTTTTCTCTATTAAATTTTATATTTTATAATACTTTGAAATGTAAGTAAGATACAGAATATTCTAGTTTATATACAACCTTCTAAAATACTCTTTTCAGAGATCATGGATTGATTGTATATAAAAATAAATTCTCTTACTAGTCACATAATATTTCATATTCAAGTATATTTATGCTTTGTGCATTTACATTACTTTTGAACCAATTTGTAGCTTGTAGAACTATCTGTACAAATTTCTTAAGTATTTGAGAAATTAGATAAAACAGAAATGAAAATTGCCACTATAGTTTCTTAGAAAAGTTGTATTTGTTATTTACAACAAATATATACATTTTGCCTATGTGTGCCTGGTACCTAAGGTCAGAAGAGGGTGTCAGGGTGTCAGATCCCCTGGAACTGGAGTTTATGAATGTGGGTCCTTTGGAAAAGCAGCAAGAGCTCTTAACCACTTAAATATCTCTTCAGTCCCTCCTATAGCTTTTTTTCTTACGTTTTATGCATTTTCTGTCCATAATGAAATCTTTTGTTCCTGTTGGACATTGATAGGTTTTTTTTTTTTTGTTTTTTTTTTTTTTTTTTTTTTTTAATCTTGGCAATATCATCAGTGCTGCTTTTTTAGCCTGGTGTCACAATCATTACAGAGTTTCTGAACACAGAGTAGTCACTCTGCTGTATCAGTTGGAGAACTGAAATCTGATAGCATTAGTATTCATAATTTCAGAATATTTAAACTACAGGCTATCTTATTTGCCACTTCTGAAGAATTTGTTAGAGTCTAAAACACCTTTACTTATGTCAACAAAGGATAGTTTACTTCATTGTATATCATGACAACATTTGTAATTCAGCAATCTTAAATATATGTTTTATTATTTTATATGTATACCACATGTGAATGCAGTTACCTGAAAAGTCCAGAAGAGGACATTGGATCCCTTGGAGCTGGAGTTACAGGCAGTTGTGAATTGCCTGATAATGGATTCTGGGAACTAAACGCATATCTTCTTCAAGTACAGTATAGATTCTTAACCACTAAGCCATCTCTCCAGCTCCTAATGTACCAACCTTGTCACAAAAAAGTGCAAGCCTTAACTTCCAATCAAAATCCTATATTGGTATGGAAGAATTATCAACAGATTCTCCTAACATGACCTACTTGATTTCATCTTTCCTACCTTTCAACCTTTGCATGGTTATTTATTGAACAAATTTAAGAATTTAAATTGTTGACATACTTTATCAGGTACATTTTTCCAACCAAAGCTTTGGAAATTTTTCTAGCATTTTCTAGAATATGCACATGTGCACTCATTCTGTTGAGTCCCAGTGTAATAATCTCTATAGAGAATATAAGCCTGAACACAAATGCTATTAATTACTTCATGAAGGATTACAGAGCAAGCTGGTTGTCAGCTTGTAGAACTACTACAGCATTCCATCTCTATGTGAAACTGGAATGTTAGTGACACAACAGGCCCCCAAATGTGATGTCTCATCTAATGTTTCTTCTGTGTTTCACTATCTAATCTGCCCAGGAAAAAAATTGTCAGCTAGGGTATGATGGTACATGTTTGTTATCCCAGTACTTACAAGATGGAAGCCAGCCTAGGGTATGTAATGAGACTCTGATTCAAAAATAAAATAGTTTTATTTTTTCAACTACTGTTTTCCTTTTTTTTTTTTTTTTTTTTTTTTTTTTTTTTTTTGGAGACAGGGTCTTACTATGTAGCTCTAGCTGTCCTGGAACTCACTTATGTTTTACTTATGAGTAAATTTAGGAAATTTATTTTATTTTATTTTATATAACAAAGTCCAATTAAATGAAAACAAACATTTATACACAATATTTGGGAATTTGGGCGTCGTTCTTTCCAAACTACTTCCTGCTGGTAAGGGGCGCTGTCATGGGGGATTTGAAGAAGATTCAGAAATCCTGGCTGTAGTCTGTAGGCCTGCTTTGTCCAGCTGTTTTGAATGTAGGATCACCTTTTACTCTGTTTCAGGCGGTCTGGCGTGATCAAACCACATTAGTCTGGAAGGAATCCACATCTTTTCATTTTCTGTGGAAACAAAAATAGAAATCCTTTTCCCCAGTAACTTGTCCTTGAACTTAAATTTTGGAGTCAAAGCATTTTTTTAATTTAATTTATTATTTTACATGTCGATCCCAGTTCCCTCTCCCTCCCTCCCTCCCTCCCTGCCTTTTACCCTCTCTGTCCTCTCACATGCACTCTAGCCACCCTCCCCTCCCATCCCCCCATCCCAATTCCATATGTAGGGAAATGCCATCCAGTTGGGGTCATATAGGTCAGACAGGTCATGTGAAGTAGGGATTAGGGCTTCTCTCCTGTCTCTAGGTTAAGGCAGTTATCTCTCCATGGGGGATGTGTTCGCAAGGTCCTTTTGTGCACCAGGGATACATCCTGGTTCCACTATCTGAGGTCCGTTAGACTGCTCAGTCCTTCTAACTGAGACCCATATTCAGGGGGGCCTGAGTCAGTCCCATGCTGGCTTCCCAGCTATCAGTCTAGTGGCTGTTAGCTCCTCCTTGTTCAGGTAAGCTGTCTGTAAGTGTTTCTGCCGCATGGTCTTGTCCTCTCCATCTGCATCTGGGTTCTAGTTCGATTCAGTGTTTATGTATGGGTGTTTGATCCTGTTTTCAACAGGCATTAGTTGAGGGCTCCATGGATAAGTTAGTTGTTGATCTCACTCTCCGGGAAGGGCATTTATGATAGCCTTTCCACGGAAGCTCAAATTGTTATTTGGCAGCAGTCTTGTAGTTCTCTAGACCTTTCTTTGTGTTCAATTTTATCTTCAAACCAATATTGGCTCCCTCTTTTATGATCTCTGTCTCTGTCTCTCTCTTTCCTATCTTCTATTCCTAACCAGGCTCAATCTTCCTGGTCGCACATGTTTTCCTTTCCTCCCCCTCATTTTCTCCTACTTCTCTCTCCATTCGCTGCCCCTCCCACTTCACCTGAGCTCTGGGGGACTTGTCCCTTCCCAGTTCTGTGAGGGACTTTATATGAATCTCTTAGAATACACCTTGTATCCTAGTTCCTCTGGTGGTGTGAATTTTGGGCTGGTGATCCTTTGATCTAGGTCTAAAATCCATATATGAGTGAGTACATACTGTGTTCCTCTTTTTGTGACTGGGTTACCTCATTCAGGATGGTTTCTTCAAGTGCCATCCACTTGCCTGGGAATTTCAAGATAACCATTATTTTTTTCTGCAGAGTAGTATTCCATTGTGTAGATGTGCCACATCTTCATTAACCATTCTTCAATTGAGGGGCATCTAGGTTGCTTCCAGGTTCTTGCTATTACAAATAATGCTGCTATGAACATAGTTGAACAGATGTCCTTGTTGCATGGATGTGAATCCTTTGGGTGTATGCCTAAGAGGGGGATTGCCGGGTCCTGTGGTAAACCAATTCCCATTTTCCTGAGGAACTGCCACACTGATAGATGTTTTTTTGATTATGTTTTGTTTGTTTCTTTCTTCTTCTTCTTTTTTTTTTTTTTTTTTTTTTTTTTTTTTTTTGAGAAAAGGTCTCATTATGTAACTCAGTTGGCCTGAAACTCACTATGTAGACCAGGCTGGCCTCAAACTTACAGAGATCCATCTGCCTCTTGAGTGCTGTGATAAAAGATGTGTTCAATTACATGCAGCTTAAAATTAGGTTTTCATTTTTAGTAGTTGATATGTTTACAAAATTATCTGGTTATTTCCTTTGTTTTTCTATAGATTTTATAATTTTTCAATAGATTTTTTATAAATTATGAAAATTATCTTTGTAAGAAGGGTAGTGATATTATTCCTGTTTACATGGGAATGTAAATGTTTACTGTTATGTGCTCCTTAATATAATTATAGTTATTTTTATATTTTCATATTTAATTATTAAACCTGTTTACCATTTAAATTTTTAAAAATTCTGTTTCTGAAAAATTTATAAATCCATTAGAATTTAAAAATTAATATGGAAACCTAGACCCAGTTTGCCTATAGGCTATATATTACAAAACTATAGCATAAAAAGAAACTAAGATATTAACAATGTTAGAATATTTATAGTTTTATGCTACTTTGGCATATGATATGTATAGGCACCAAAATAGCCAACTTTCAAAACTGGGGGCCAGTGAGATAGTTTCATGGGTAATGGTGCTTTTCACAAAAGCCTAGTGACCTAAGTTCTATCCCTGAAATCCACTTAATGGTAGAGTATTGGCTACAAAAAGTTGTTCTTTGGTTTCCACATGTTCAGTGTGGCACATGCATCTGTAGAAACCATACACACAATAATAGTAAAAGTTTTAAAGATATAAAACAATTTTCTCATGCTACCTTTTCATATTCACACCCAATGTTTCCCTGTTACACCTAACCCCTTATAATGACAAATGTGTTCTTCTCCTCCTTACCTTACATTTCCTGCTGCTTTGTATTCCTGGCCACATGGGGTTTGATGTCACAGTCTACCTTTTCTTATCTCCTGAATATTTCTGTATCGCTATACAGAACCATGAACTGGCTTCTAGGATGTTGTTGAGCAACTTGGAGAGCATCTGAGACTTTTCAGGAATAACTGTGTAGAGCAGAGCTACTTGAGTACAGGAGGTTTTCTTCACTACTAAGATAGGGCCCTTCTAAGCACTTTGCTCCCTATCTACTAAAAGATTGTCTCTCTACCTTGGCAGGGTAGATGTAAGGGGAAATAGCTGCTGGTATCCATTCTGCTTCCCAGGGCTCAGTAATTACTTACCATCACCCTTGTTAGGGGCAGTTACTTTTTCTTACACCTCAAGTTCTTCCCTCACACACTTGTGTTTCTCTGTACCCAGTGGATTACTCAAGTGGGATCCACTGGACATGTCTTGAGTAATTCACTGGGCACAGAGAAACACGAGTTGTGAGCTGCCATGTGGGTGCTGGGAATTGAACCCAGGTCTTCTGGAAGAGCAGCCAGTGAACCTCTTCAGTTCCTCAATTGCATTTTTATTCACTTATCTATACAAAAAGAAGAAACTTTAACAGAGTTGAAACTAGGAAAAAATAGCATTACATTCTCTTTCATAGATTCATGTTCTCAAAAGAATAAACCTCTGGGTACCTGGCATGCACATGGTACACATACGTACATGCAAGTAAAACACACAAATGAAATAAAAATAAATAGATCTTTTTAGAAGAAGAAGCATGACCATCCAATAAATATTTTAAAAGTGTTTAACATCCAGTCATCAAAGATATGTAAATCAAAATTATGTTGTGATCCCATTTCACTTCAGCCAAAATGGCAATCATTGGTTGTGTTTTAATATGGGTAATTTGTACGAAAAATAAGAAGTATTTTATAGGACATGGGAAAATGAACTATGGACTTTGTATGGCCTGCAACCACTTTACTTTGCTGTTTTTAACATTTGACAGTTTACTTTAGAGAAATCAAATAAATTAAAAAATTATGTATATATACACACTACATATATATATATATATATACATATATATATATATATATATACATATATGTGGGTCTTGACCCTTTTTGGCAAACCTCTGTCTCTACAAATATTTACATTATGATTTATATCAGCAACAAAATTATAGTTATAATGTAGCAATGAAAATAATTTTATGTTTGGGGGTCACCATAACATGAGAAACTGTATTAAAAGGTTGCAGCATTAGGAAGGTTGTGAACCACTGGACATGTATGTGCATGTGCACTTGCACACACACATTTATTTTTTATATTTCCTTACTGAAAGTAGGAGTAGACAAAGAAGACAGAATTCTCAAATTGAAAATATAAATAAATTATGAAGATTTAAACAAGCTGTTTTTGCAAAGAATATTAAGATTTGAATGACCAAATATTTGAATAATTGCAGTAAGACAATGTAATATAAATATGAGATATATGTAAAGAAAAAACTGACTTTAAGTGTATAACATTTGAAGTTCTGAGCATCAACCTTATTTCACCCTTAGTTATGTATTTTGAGCCTTTATTATAAGCAGGGATTTTCTTCTTTCAAAAATGCCTTGACAAACATACAGGTTGGCTGAACTAACAGGCCGTCCCATGAGAGTTGTTGGCTGGTATCATTCCCACCCTCATATAACTGTTTGGCCTTCCCATGTTGGTAAGTGTTATATATAAGGTTGCAGTGTTGGCTTATTTCCCCAGTTTCATAGCATGGTTATCAAAAGGCTTTTCCTTCTAAGCAATATTTTTGTTACTACCAAAGCCTGTCTTGTAGTTCACAGGAAATTATCAAGTTTTGGGGATAGCTGAAGCTTTCAGATTTTTTTTGTTTGTTTGTTTAATCTATGCTACATTTTGTAGTAGGGCCATTCTTGGGCTAAGTAGCCTAGAGTTACTAGTTAATAGCAAACTTTCCATAATATTTATTTAACTTGGCAAAATATGTTCTGACATTTGTTGCGGGTGGTTCTCCTATCTAGCCTGAGTCCTGCAGTCACCCTCAGCCCCAAATGAACAAATAATTATATTAATTATAAAATTATTGGCTGGTGTTTTGGGCTTCTTATTGGCTAGCTCTGTCTTAATTATTAACCCATTTCCTTTAATGTAAGTATATCCACGTGGTCTTGGCTTACCAGAGAATGCCTGGCGCCTCCTCTCTTCCTGGGCTCTACATGACGACTCCATCTGCCTACATTTCCCAGAATTCTCATCTCCTAGCCCTGCCTACACTTCTGTCTGGCCAATCAGCCAATCAGTGTTTTATTCATCAACCAGTAAGAGAAACATATATACAGAAGGACATGTCCCATCAGACATTTATATTATCATTACAATATATCCCTATTTTGCCTGTAGAATGTGAATGTTAACAAGATAACTAACTAATAATCATTACTGTTATCTCTAAATAAAATCTGTTAACTACAGGTTATTAACAGAATATTTTTATTACTATTTCAGATGTTCGTACACAAGCAATGTACCAAATGATGGATCAAGGCTTTGTAGGTCTTATTTTTTCCTGTTTCATAGAAGACAAAAACACAAAGGTATTGTATGTGTAAGTGTGTATGTGTACATACACATTTGTGTGTGTGTGTGTGTGTTTGTGTGTGTGTGTGTGTGTTTGTACACAGAGTAGATACAGAATAGAGAAAAATTTCTTTGCAATTTCAATAGGATGGCCAGGGCAGTTTTCAGGGTTAGGGTTAGGCCAGGACAGTTTTCAGGGGGAAGGGTTTTTGAGTCTAGATTGGAAGAAGGTAAGGGAGTATTTCTTGGCAGAAGATTATGCCTGGCAGAGGAAATAGCAAGTGCAAGTACTCTATGGTGAGTGTAGCATTTTGAGGGAACTTTGAGGAAGTTCGTGTGGCTGTAGTAAAGAGAGGAAGACCATGACAATGTATTCCAGTTTGCCTCAGTCTTAATTTTTATAGTTATGTTGCAATGTCCCATTTAACCAGCCTTTTTATCTCTTGGAAGTATTCTGGTTTGGTCATCCTTAAAGATGCCCAAAATGTAATGGGAACTAGTTCTTATAAAGCCTTTACTTAGCCTCTGAGATGGGAAGCCATTATAGGGTGACTTTATTATGTATTATGTATTAATAGAATCACTCTAGGTTTGGAGTGGGAAGGTTGAAATTAATGGCATCAGAGAAAGTAGTTAGGAAGATATTGTCAGTAATCTAGGCAAAAGATAATTAAGCCTTGACCTTGGTGTGGAGAAGATAAGTGTTCTAATAATGGATATTTTCCATAAATTCATTGTCTTCCAGAAACACTACAGTTCCATATCTGGAACTTTATAATTTTTTGGAATACTTTTGGATTTGTCACCATTTAATTTGCTTATTGTCATCATAAATAAATGAGATTAATCACTTTCCTGGTTCTCATATTTGTTAATAATTCTATCTCATGAGAAGATGTTTGCCTGTAACTCATACTAATTATGTATATGATCCTTCTCACAGAAAGTGATTTATGGCATATTCTATAGCCTTTAGAACCTCTTTTAGCCTAATATGTCCATAAAAGCCTTTAAGTTTTAAGTTAGAATCCACTGAATTGCTATGAAATTTCCAATACAAAAAGGAACAATGGTCCGCTGGGCGTGGTGGCTCATGCCTTTACTTCCAGCACTTGGGAGCCAGAGGGGGGAGGGTGGATGTCTTCTAATTCCAGGCCAGCCTGTTCTAAAGATTGAGCTCCAGGACAGCCGAGGCGATAACTTTTTGTGTCAAAAAATAAACAAAAAATGATTAATTATTGAAGATAGAAATGCTTGTTATACTGAGTCAATTATTATACATTGTATATTTAATACATATACAATGTATAATACTAACTGGGTATCTTTTCTTGAGACATACAGAGTAAAGATACCCAGTTAGTATATCTCAAGAAAAAAATAACAAAAATGAATCCTTTTGCATTTGACATTGCCTTTCTGTTTGTTTGTTTGTTTGTTTGTTTTTTAAACAGACTGGTCGGGTACTCTACACTTGCTTCCAATCCATACAAGCCCAAAAAAGCTCAGAGTAAGTATGACAGACAGAGATGTTATTTTTGATGGACTAATGCCTAGTCATGGAAGTGATTGTTCTGTTTTATTTAATTTTTCTCAAGTAAGACACTAATAGTACTATATTTCTACTCTTACTAACAGTTCTAAGAAAAATTAGAATTTCTTTATCAGTTGTGAAAGTCTAGGAAGCTGGAATCAAATAAATAGTCTCTTTGTTATAGCTATATCACCATATTCTTGTTCCACATTTCCCAAATTGTATTGTGCTGCTAGTTCCCTTTCACTGGGGTGTTCTAAAACAAAGAGCAGATGAGAAGAAATTTAGAGTTTTATTTTTTTATAGATACTTCTCTATTACTATATAAACTCTCAGTGTTCAATTAATACTAGGCAAACGTTTACCATAGAGATGAAACTCTTGCCTTCTTGTCATAAAAGTCTTTTCAGAATTGTAATATTTCATTAAAATGTTTGTATAGATTAATTTTCTCTTTAAAACATAGTAATCAGGGGTTGAGGAGATGGCTCAGTGGTTAAGAGCACTGACTACTCTTCCAGAGGATCCGGGTTCAATTCCTAGCACCTACATTGCAGCTCACAGCTGTCTGTTTCACCAGTTCCAGTGGATCTGACACCCTCACACAGGCATACATGCAGGCAAAACACCAGTGTGCTAAACAAACAAATCCAAAACATTGTAATCTATTGCTGGGCATGATGGTGGGCACTTTTAATCTCACCCTCCCACCTAGTACAGAGGAAGAAGAGGTTGGTGGATCTCAGGCCAACTAGGGCTACATAGCAAGATCCTATCTTAAAAAAACAAACAAAACAAGCAACCCAAACTCTGTTACTGTTTTTGTTTTATTTTTCTGTCACAAATAAAGGTGATGGTCACTAATACCATTCCATTTCCATTTTCTACAATGTAGTTAACTATTTTTTCATTTTGGAGGGTTACTTTTCTAATCTTTAATAAAGTTTACTTATTTTTATTTTTGTGTTTTGAGACATGGTCTTATGTATTCCAGTCTGAACTCACAATCATCCTGCTTGTGCTTCCTCTGTGTTGATCTTTCTGACATGGGCTACCACACCCACCTAAAGATTGCCTTTGTATTGTATTAACAATTGACATTAGACAATATTGATTTGGCTCTTCATGATTACTAAATTTTCATAGTTACAAACGTCTTTGCTCAAGATTGGGACCATAATTTCATTGTGTATATTTTGTGTATTTATTGATTATAATAGAAACTAAATTTCAGTGTGGCATTGGTGGCACACACCTTTAATTCCAGCACTCGGGAGGCAGAGGCAAGCAGATCTCTGTGAGTCTGAAGCCAGCCTGGTCTACAGAGTGAGTTCTAAGACAGGCTCCAAAGCAATACAGAGAAACACTGTCTCAAAAAACCAAAAAAAAAAAAAAAAAAAAAAAAAAAAATAGAAAATACATTTTATTATTATGACTAGGTAAATGTTATTCCCTCTTTAACTAACTAATGTGAACTAGAGTGCTATAATGATTCTGCTTTTTGCATAGATTTTGTTTTGTTTTCTTTTTTGCTTTGCTTTGCATGTTTTGAATAGTCCCACAGGCCAATCTGATGAATGCAATTCTTGATTAAAATTCCCTTGTCTCAGGTTATTCTAGTTTGTGTCAAGTTAACAAAAAACTAACCAATACAATGATATACTAAAAGACTTAATATTGTTAAATGATAATACTACCCAAAGATATCAAGTCAATGAAATACTTATGTAATTCCAAAGGTCCTTTTTGTTGCAGACATGGAAAAGATAATTATAAAATCTAAGAGGCATGGAATAACCAATATTGATAAAAAGAAGATGAAATCAGAGAAATAAGTTTTGGCTTGCATGGTGTGAAACTAGAATCAATATAGATATAGACCAATGGAATGAATTCAGAGACTCAAAATAAAAACCAAATTATCTTTCAGCACATGTGCCAATGTCATTGAATGAGAAGTGAACATTTTCTTCTATGAGTGGTGCTTTGACAGCATATATAGAAATTAGCTACAGATAAACTGTGAACTAAATGTGCAAGCTAAAGCCATGAGCACTTAGAAGAAAACGTAGGTTAAATCTTCATGACATTGAGTTTTCATAGATGTGACAACAAAACATGAATAACAGTAGATAACGTTTGTAAAACATAAAACTTGTGTGTGTGAAAGGATAGCCTATATGATTGAATTTTATAACTGTCTGAGATATTATGAAAAATTTTTAGGATTAGACATGATAGTTCATTGCTGTAATCCAAACACTTAGGAGGCTGAGTATGGAGGATTGCCATGAGTTCAAAGAAAATCTCAGTTACATAATGAGTTACCGTCCAGCCTAGGACAAATCTTGAGATCATTGCAAAACCCTGTCTCAAACAAGTCTTAATATTGGATTAGGTGGTAAATGACTATAATCTAGTATTTGGCAGGTGGAGGCAGGAGAATCAGAACTTCAAGATTACCCTGGTTACAAAGCAAGTTCAATGCCAACCTGTGCTACATGGGATCCTGTCTCAAAAAGTCAAAATCAATAAAGACATGCATGGTAGTATACACCTTTAATCCCAGCACTGAGAAGGCAGAGTTAGGTGGATCTCTGTGAATTCAAGGCCACGTGGACTACATATTGAGTTCTAGGCCAGACAGGGCTAAACAATAGGATTCTGTCTTGGAAAAGAGAGACATAAATTACTAATATACTAATATAATATAATATATACTAATGGACTGGGGAGATGCCTTTATAGCAAAATGGGTAGTATTCTTATACAGAGCATAGAAGACCAAGATTACTAAGAATATTATGGACTAGAACTGATCAGTGGTATCATAGTGCTTCTGATCAGTGATCCCACTCTAGACAAGTCAGCAGCAGTACTTGTGAACATAGATTCATTGTCAGACTCTCCAAATAGTCCTGGCTCAAGTCACTTATTTGAACATATGCTGTTTGGTAAATATCCTGAACATGATGGAACTAAAAATGTCTTTTCTAGTGGAGAGCATACCAATTACTACTTTAATGTTTCCAGTGGACAGGCTTTCTCAGTTTTTCCTGTGCCCCTAGTCTGACTCTAGTTGTAAAGACAGAGGAGGTAAATGCAGTTGATTTAGAACACGGGAGTTTGATGAAAGATACCTGGAGACTCTTCCAGTCAGAGAATGCTACAGGGAATCTTAAACACATCTTTGACATATTTCAGATAGGTAACAATATATTGTAGGAAATTGACCCAATCAAGAAGGCATTGACATAAGATCAAGAACTACTGGAATTTTATTCTATTCATTCAATCTGATGACTATTTCTATTTTAGGTCAATAGAAAAATGTAACACAAAAGATAAAAACCCAGAGATGGATACGGGGGTTCTAGCTGATGGTCAGACAAGCAAAGCAACCATCCACTAGCTCTTACCTCTACCTCAGACTGGCTCCGTGAATCCTCAGAATGCAATGCTCTCTCCACAAATCCTTAGAGAAAATAACACTCCCTCTCTGGAAACGAAATATTCATATCAAACCCTTTGCTTCTTCCTTTTATACGTTCCTAGTGATGGGATTAAAGGCGTGTGGTCCCAAGTGCTGAGATCACCTTTGTGTGAGCTGTTTCTCTTTAGTACTGGATCACTTTCATACAGCTCACTGTGGCCTTGAACTAGCAGAGATCCATCTGCCTGTCTCCTGAGTTCTGGGATTAAAGGTGTATGCCACCACTGCCTAGCTTTATGGCTAGCTACTGTGGCTGCTGGGATTAAAGGTCTGTATCAACACTGCCAGACCTCTATGGCTTGTGGCTAGCTAGCTTTGCATGCTGAAACCTCAGACAAGCTTTAATGAATCATAAATAGTGTATCACCACAGACAAACTCTTCAAACATTTCATAGAAAATTTGTTTTTTCCCATTGTGTTCTTTTTATAAAATATTAGAAAGAAATAAGGTAGAAGTGTTCATCTGTTCATAGTCTTTTGAAAGTGATCTGTGATGAGTTTCAATTTTAACTGGCTGTGTTCCAACAAGAAGTTTAGATGGCTGTGAGTGAAGAACTGAAGAACATTTGAATTACTGGTAGGTTTTCTAAGTATATAACATTAAGGGAATGGGGCATGGTGGAAGATTGACAGGCTTGACCATATAAAAATTCAAAACTCTACAAACAATGAAAACATGGATGACAGTAGATAAGCTGTAAATTAGTGATAACATGTTGCTTTCCCTGTCAGATTATCAAATTTGTTTTAGTTTTGCTTTAAGTAATGCTCAATTTGGATGTGGCTGTTGTTCTGTATTGGTGGTGGTAAATGGGACTCCCAGCTGCTCCAGTCTTTCTGAAGAGCAATGTATTTTATTGTTATATAAAACCAGGTCTCACTGTATAGACCAGGCTGGCCTCGAACTTGTAGCAATCCTCCTGATCCTGCCTCCTGAATGTTGAAATTACATATACAAGCCTGACCTAAGATTGTAACAGTTTTATTTGTGTTGGATACAAGACAGAATGGAAACAACAATTTATGAATGTATTGTGGCAGTTATAACTCACACTTTGGAGTTCAACAACCCGACTTTGAAGGCCAAATATACTGTCTACTTAGCCCTGTGGTCATGGTCTAGCAAAGTTAGTGCAGTTTTCTAAACATATGATTTTTTTTCTTGAGGCAGTATCTCACTATGTGATCCTTAGCTGTCTAAGAACTCAAAATGTAGACTACGCTGGCTCCATCTGCATCTGCCTCCCAAGTGCTGGGATAAAAGGCATGTGCTGTCATGCACAGCTAAATGTCTGATTTTTGTATTTGTAAAAGAGAGAGGTAATGTGCTGGAGAAGTGGATCAGTGGTTAAGATCACTTGCTACTCGTGTATATTCCCAAAACTTATGCAATGATTCACAATCATCTGCTACCCAAGTCCCAGGGTATCTGATGCCTCTTATTACCTCCTTGGGTAACAAGTACACTGTGGTGAATAGACA